GTCGCTCGTGGAATAATTGTTAAATATACACCTGTATGTGAAAAAGAACTAATGACATACATGTCTGCAAATAATTCAGTGAAAACATACCATCGTATCAGATCCCCAGTGCTCCAGGCCAAAATTGACAAAATACCGCAGCATGTCGAAGCGTTCATTGGATGATATGTCCCAGTGTCTGAACAAAAATAAATCACCACTGCTATGAACGATACATATTCCACAATCACACCATGTTAAAAAGCTATCAAAACTTCAGAGCCTCCTAGTTATACCTGCATAGTACTCCAAGAAATGTTCACACCTTTGAAGGACATGGTTCCCTTTTGAAAGACAATCAACATACTTTTTTATTGTATAAAAGAATCACATCTAAACATCCTCGTTGATTGATGGGAAAGTTCTCACCTGTTTTCTTTTATTTCTGTAAATATCCATGGTTTGATCAGAGCCCCTCTAGAAACAAAGTTTGATGTATGAGCCCTGTGATTTCTGGAGGCCCCCTAGCCATATATATTGTTATTTATTTGATAAATATTGTAAACTTGTATATCTGATGATGTAAACCACTTAGGATTTACAACTATTTGCAATAATATTTATGATATTAACTCTCTGTGAATGGGAAATACAATTGTAATGTATTGTTAACACAAAATTGAAAAAAATAATAAAATAACCTCCTACACTATTACAGGGCTCAAAATTGCAATCGATACGGTCGCCAATGCGACTGAAACTTTTAACTTGGCGACTAAAAGTTTGAGTTTAGTTGCCACTTTAGCGACTAAACTAACTTCCTCTGATAAATAAAAGATTGTAGATGAGAAAAATTTCTTAAGTCTCGTTTCTGCGTTTCTGGTTTTCTGCCAGAGGAAATGCAAATTAAGTCTGTTTACCTTTAAGCTAAAACTTGAAATGGCTTTCAAATTGTGTCTTCCGAGATGAACTATTACAGTGGCTTCATCATGGTGATTGCAGGCGCAATATTTTGTTGAAAAGCTTCTGAATTTAAAATTAATCCGTTGAGAACAGGAGGTCTGGTACTAAATGCCTATCCGCCATGTTTGATAAATGTTTGATGCCTTCGTATCGTACGATTTCTTGCATGCGATGTGACATATTTTCCTTGCTAAAGTAGCCCTGAAATGTTCTTATTACTTTTTTCGCTTACTGCTTAAGGTAAGATTGTCATGCAAAAGTCTTTCGGAGTTTCTTCTTTTGTGTTTTCATGTTTTAAGTCATTCAAGATCGAGTATTTCGGTCTACCCCACAATCGCAGCCACAATCCACCAGAAGCCGAACAACAACGCCAATTGAATAAGGCTCTAATCTGATTTCTGTTCTTGTACTATCTGGCGACTGCATTTTTGCACTTGGCGACCATTTTTTCTCTGATAGTCGCCAAAAGGCGACTTGGAATTTTTTTT